CCTATTTAAAAAAAAAAAAAAAAAAAGACGACGCCTCTTGGCACAGGGCCCAGCAGTACTATCTGTGCAATCTAGCAGCTTGGCAGCTTTGCGTGTTGCCATATTCCCCTTGAGAATTAGAGAGAAGCTATTCTCCGCCTTGTCAAGGCTGCCAAAGGATGAAATACTTTGATCCTTCAGAGGAACATTAGAGTAGTTTGCCTCCTAGGTACTATATATGACAAAATACATTTAATTTATTCATCTTCATATAAATACTGAATATTTTCAGTGAAAATCCAGAGATTTAATGCAGACCTTTTATCAATACCAATAAACCTAACTCAATTTGATTTGAATGTTGCTGAGATACTGGGAAAAGAAATTCATTTCCAGAGCATTAAAAATGTAGTAAAACAATTCTGTTTAAGTAACAATGATTGAAGAAAATATTAATTTCTAAGTTATCATTACTTAATACATTGATATTTTACTGAATATTTAACATTATAAGTTTACAAAGATTGAATATGCAAGTCTTGTTATAACTACTGCAAAATAATATGCTGATGTTACAACTTAAAGCTTCTGTCTCTTCGGTGCTGTTTTATTTTAGGACTGATCTCATATACGGAGTACTTGTTTTTGCTGACAATCCTCACAAGTAGGTATTTTGTTATATGAAGGAATGTCTAATTTGTAACACTGCCCAATAGTTCAAATTCTTATTACTTCTAACTTTCCATCACAGTGATGTCTAACATGGTTTTATAGTGAAATATGTGGCTATGGAACATTAAGGAAATAATGTAAATGGATATTGCCTCAGTTGTCTGTACCCTGGTTCCAGGTATCATCTGTGGTTAGTGATAGCACTTTAAAGATCTTGATAAGCCCTGCAAGACAAGGTCAAGAATTGGATATGTAGCCATTTACAAAAAAATGAGCAAGGGCAGAGACTAAGGAGTCTTTTTAGTAGCAATGTGTTAGTTGTGTTTGATAATGAGATGTTTACTGATTAGGAAATAGCCTCATTCAGTGGTATAATATACTATCACAGTAATACAGAAGAAATGAGTGGTCTGTCATTACTATGCTCAGGACATTTTGTAGGACAGTATCTAAATAGCTCCTGTTCAGAATATTTTTGTTGAAACTTCTGTTCCCACGTGCCACTGCCTGAGACCATTGTTATCATGGCTTTTTTTTTTTTTATCTGTTTTCTCCTCCTCCTTTCCATTGGTTCCATTTTTCCCCTTTTTTGTGTGTTCTTCCCTTGACTTTTGTTTCCCTTTCTCCCTTATTTGCAATCAGAATGCTCTTCTTCTTGCCTTCTATTCTGTTGGTAATTTATAATAGCACTCCCTTCTGGCCTGACTCACCAGAAGGTGTGGAAGCCATTTATTTGCCTGTCACAAGACTGAGTTGAATGCCATAGGAGCAGGGAGGATATAGGTGAGATGGCTGGAAACTGTTAGATTCCAATGCCTGGAGCAAAAAAGGTACTCTTTCACCCACCTTCCTGAAGACAGTGAATCAAGATTTCCAAGGAGCTGCCTCATACTTTAACTGCAAATGTGATGGCAGCTCTTTGTAATACAGGCATGTGTGTGAGGACTGATCCTGTCTGGGCATGTGTGTGAGGGCTGACAGGCTGAATCTGTCTTATACTTCATGTAAGCTGCCTCCCCCTTGCTAGTCTGATGTGCTGTACTGAAGGCTGAGAAATTTTAATGGAAGGTTTCCATAAATGCATATGATAGACATTATAAAGTGAGGCTTGTGACTAGCTGTGGTACAGTCCAACTATATGACCATATAAGTTCAGTCTTGTTAGCTAATACATTAAACCAAAAATTTTAGAGCTCTGGATGTCAGTGGATGCTGAGCAGCCATTTTCATCTTCATGGACCTTCCTGCAGCATTTAAGACACATTCACGAGATGTTCTTCCTTCACCCAAGAGAGATGGCAGGAATCTAGGCAGTTGGTTGAAAGTGGTTTTGAACTCTTCCTTAGACAATACACCCAAGGAATGGTGCCACCAGATCTACACCTTGTTGAGTGCCTCAAGCATCAATCAGTTCTTTTTGCTCACTATCTACACTAAGCTGCAAATGAACTGCTTTGACAACATGCCCTTGTTGCCAGTAACATGCCCATGAAACAGAGCTCTAATCACCACATAAAGCTATCCCACCACTGCCCAGGTGGCACAAAGAGATTGGTTCACAAATGAAGAATATCTGGTGGAAGCTGAACTTAGGTGAGAGAGGGATTATGTTTGTAGGCAGAGGAAAGAACTTTGAGGAATTCACAATCACAGTACTGTCTCTTTTTACTAAAGATGCAGTGGTAAATTGTGCCATTTGTACACGGAGGAGCACCCCAGATCCCACTGTAACTCTAATTTATTACATCCAGTATATTTGACTTGGAAAACATGCTACTTGAGATATTTTCCCACCTTGGTTTTATACCTTTCATATTTATATAATGCTTATTCAGCTTTTTCCACCTCTGTTGAACTAGAGCAGTGTAGTATATCTCACAGCAGTCAGCCCTCAGAAAGCTCCAGCTGGTACAAAGCATACCGTAAGGCATACAGCTTCAGTATAACCAAGCAATCATATAAGTATACTGCCATCCTAAGAAATAGTGACCCCATCCAGTGTTGCATCCAGCATTAGGAGCATTAGATGCATAATAGGTGTTCAGAAGTGTATCTGAATAGGCAGTGATTACCTAAAAGAATTATTGCTAAGTAACATCCTGTATAAACTAGATAGGAAGAGAAGGACACTAGTAGATATGAAAGAAATTTTTAAAGAAAAACTGCCTTGTTTCTTTTCACATATTCCAAAGAAGGAGAATGTCCTTCCATACAAGCTGAATTACCTGCCACTGGTTTATTGAATGGGGAGGTAGCACATGGGATTCAACCCATTAGGAAAAATCTAACAAAGTCATTGCAAAAAAGATCATTTCTTTGCAATGTATTTATTTTATGTAGTACGTTTTTTAATTAAAAGTTAAGTAAATAGGATAGCAAAAGATCCTACTTCTTTCAATTCAAGAGTTGTTAGGTTGAGAGTAAGACAGCACTGATGCTTTAGCTCAAATAAGAAAGTGAAACAGTATCAAAGTAAGCAGTTTCTGCTTTTTCAGACAATCCAGCAGCATTTCAGGATTTGCCGTATAGGAGTGGATTGAATTGCAAAAAAACAAAGGAACCTTTTTATGCAGAATGAAAATCCAGTAATAATTTTGCTTCTTAAATTACACAAAAGGTTATCATATACATCATTCTGAAAGCAAATGTCAACAACTGTTAGTCCTTCCATCTGTATCTAAGAAGTATCCCATGTCAATCAGCTCTGGATATTTCATAGTTATGTAGCCTACATGTCTGTGAATCATTGCATCTTCCTAGAAACAATCAGATTGTTCAAAGTTGCTCTCTGGTGTTTTTTAATAAGGTCTCCCAAATCCCATACAGTTGTCTGGTTCAGCAACCTAGTAGGGCCTCTTCCTTGTTTCTGTACATCTGGTGGTGGTGGTAGTAGTAGTAGTAATAATAATGCCTGTAAGTATAATTATCCCAGTTTTCCAATTGAAAAAGCTGAGGCAGAAGGAAGTAGAATGAGTTCTTCAAGGTGACCCAGTAGATCACCAGTAGAATAGACTCTCCAGATCTTCTTAGTCCCAGTTGAGTCCTGTATCTACTAGGAAACACTGCTACCATCTATATTCTGGGTATTAAGACTCATCTTCAAAAATGTTTGCCAAATGAAGGCCTTATGTGATCCACTGCAGTATCTATCCCCTTTCCTCTCACATGTGCCTTGACTACACAATGTCTTTTTTTCAGGAATGCTAAACTGCATTCCCTTGTTAGGGATTTCTGGAGCCTCTTCCTAGTGAGAGACTATAAACTGAGCATGATACCTCTACCAAAAGCTTTATTCCAATTAATACTTATAGAAGCTTGAGATAATGTTTGCAGGAAAGGTACTCAGTGTAACCTACCTATGCAGATTAACATGAAGATCTGATTTTCAGATTCTACAGTTTTGTCTAACTATGGAGTTAAACACAAATATGTTTGAGTACTTTGAAGTATGCTTATTTTATAAATGCATACCACAAAGGGTTACATCATATCAGATAAGAATGGCATGTTGTGAACTATGTGAGTGGCTTTAGCCACTTTATTTTTAAGAAATATAAGTTGTGACCCAGATGTTATGAATCATTATATAATAAATCAATACACTTTAGAGAATTAAAGTTGCTATAGCATAGTTTCCTGATACTGTTTAATAAGTGAATGCTGTTGGCAAAACATATAGAAAGAAACATTTATATAAGGAGGAAGCTAGCTTAGCCCATCGTATCATCACTCAGTCAGCTTGGGGGTTTTCTCTAGAGTTCTGATTAGTACACTGCAGTGACATTTATAAAATATTAGGACACTTAATAACTTGAAAATGTTAATTAGCTGATGGAGAGGTAATGACATATAAAGACAAACTATAATATTTTTATTACATTGACTATAAAGTAGAAAAGAACATGTCAATATTTTTCAATCTGAAAAAATATAAGCTTTTGTTACCATAAAGTTAAAAAAATATAGATTTTTGTCAGTCAGTGGCTAATGGACTGTCTCCAAAAACTTTCTGAATGGCCTCATGGGGTTTCAAGGGATGTCATGTTTCATTGCGCTTTGGACTAAACTTTAATTTTTTAAGGCATTAGTGTCCCCACTGAATGAAAGCAGATGTTCCACATTCATGTCTGACTAGTTTGTCTAGGGCAGAATTATTAATAGAGTTGCAAATACCCCCAAATTAACTGTGCTGGCTTGCTCCTGCAGTGGTCTCGAAACACATTTTATCACTATATTATTCCTGTGTAGTGTAGCTAGTAGGGCAATCCATTAATGGGTCTGGTCATCTCAAATCAGCAAAATAAGACCAGTTCAGACAGCTTTGTATTTTCCTAATGCTCTCATACAACTCAGACCACATGGGTTTTTTTGGTTGAAGAAGTGGCACCAACTTTGTGAAATAATTACAACATATAATTCTGCCAACTGCAAAAAATTATAAAATGTAGGTTTGTTTGTAAACTGAGAGCTAAAAATTGTGTAGAGTGAATTTTCTCCTAACAGAAGTTAAAAATATGGTCCTAAAAAAAAATATGTGTGTTGACTCAGTGATGCTCTTGCTAATTCCCATGCTACCACCTGAGAGAATTTATTGTAATTTTACAAATCCAATCTCTTCCTTTCTAAAGCAGTGGAGATAGAAAAAAGTGTTTATTGTATACCCTGTCTCTAAGAGGACAATATTCCTGAGACCACCCTATGGTGAATCATCTAATCAATTTGGGAATATTGATTGGCTTTCAAAGGCACTTCCAGGTCACTCCAGCATAAAAGTAGAGCTTAATAATGGTCAGGGACAATGGAGACACATAAAAGGGATACACAGAAAAAGGTGCTAGGCCATTAATTTTCATACAAGTTAAGAAAAAACAATTGTATAGGCACAATTCATGCTTCCTTACCCACCACCCCATCAACCATCTTTTGAAATTATTATAAAATTATTTTCCATTGTTCATATAATACCTGTTATGGTTCATGTGGTTTGTTAGAAATGTGAACTACCTGTCTAACTATGGAGAACTGAAGCTGCAGGCAAGGTTTTAGCTGCCTTAAATATTTATATAGAAATGTATATGTATTTTTGCACTTCATTACAGAACCACAGTCTGGATTTCATATTGCGTTTAAAATGCTGGATACTGATGGCAATAAACATGTTGAGAAGAAGGAATTCTTTAAGGTATGTGCATTCATACTCAATTTTGAAGTGTATACACAATTTTACAAATGTTATCCACTGAATGAAAATACATTAAATTATTTGAGTATATTCCTTTGCATCTAAGCTATGATCATATCTCGCAGTACAGAAAACAATATTTGCTAATACGGATTATTATGAGAAGTTTGCATATAAGAAAGTATCACTGTAGAAGTTTAAAATTAGTTCATTCAGGCCTGAGTTAATTTTGGTAAAGCTTACTTTTCGCCTATATTTACAAGACACATACAGATATCTACAGCTCTGTTAATGGATTGATAGTAGTAGACTATATCCCAAGTTTGACCTATCTTTAAAGACCATCAAAGGAAAGTCTTCTAATTTCTGAAGGGCTGAAGCAGAGAGGGAGCTGCTGTGAGATAAGCAACTCAGCAGCAGGACTGCCTTGAGTCCTTGACTCTGGGTGTCTGACTGGTGCTTTAGTGTTTGCCTAGTGCCTGCTGTGTGGGGGGGTGTTTATGGGGGTTTTTATTGTGGGGGGATTGTTTGTTTGTTTTTTACCCCCTCTGCAGTGACTGATTGATGGGGCTTCCTCTGTCTAATTGAAGGATGGAGCTAAGCTAAGCAGGCTTATAAAAGGCAGCCCCTTACAAAAAAAAAAAAAAACAGAGCGAGGAACAGAAAGGGAGGGAGTCTGGGCACAGATCTGGGTGTTTAGTTTGTGTGGTTTACAGCCTACATATCCTCCAGGGGGTAAATGAGGCATGAATGGTGGCTGGGTCAGCAGTTGTGGCCTGCACACAATATGCCATGTTTGTGTTCCTCCCGGAGGGTCAAGACACTTCATCTATATCTGGTGTCTGCCCTGGAGAAAAAAAGTCAAAGTTTGGAAACATGGATATTCACACTGCATTTTGTCAATAAAAAGAAAGATTACTTGGAGTTATGTGAGGCTGGTACTTGGAGTTACATGAGGCTGGTACTGGACAGGCAAAAGGAAAAGGGGAGGTGGCAGCATGCGACTACTAAAAGGAAGAGAGTCTCCAGAATTGAAAAGGAGCAGACTGAGCAACCACTTTCAAGCACTCTGTGGTGGAAAGGCTGAGGAAGAGGCAGAAGATGAGAACATCTGCAGGCATCAGTTGTTTGCAGTCTCCCGGCTGCAGCCGGCCCTGGCTCTGGGTAGCTGCTGCCAGCTGGGATTCCAGGCTGCTACCAGCAGGCAGCTGGGATGCTGCAAGCCCTGCTGGAAGCAGGCCAGGCTCCAGCAGCTATGCAGAGGTGGGGTAGCTGCTGACAGCCACAGAGCCCAGTCTGGGGGGCAGGGGCTTTGGGTGGGAGACAAGGGACAGAAGCAGGGCATCCTGCCATGTACCCCTGCCCTCATTTTGTTTTTCTGGCATGCCGGCACTCTGGCACTTTCCAAGGTAGGTATTGTGTTTTTTGGCACTCCAGCCAAAAAACATGGCCGACCCCAATCTAGAAGTTGTGGTAGATCACAGACTCAATATGAGCGTGATGCAGCTGCACAAAAGGCAAATGTAGTTTTGGGATGCATCAATAGCAGCATTAGGTGTCAAACGTGGGAGGTGATAGCATCTCTGTATTCATTACTGATTAGATCTTATCTGGACTATTGTATGGAGTTTTGGGCACCACATTTTAAAGAGGCTGTGGAGAAGTTACAGAGGGTCAGGGGATGACAAAAATGTTAAAGAGTTTGGAAGGCAAGACATACAAAGAGAGGTTGAAGGAAATAGGCATGTTCAGCTTGCAGAAAGGGTGCTTAAGAGGGGACATGATAGCAGTCTTCAAATACGTGAACAGCTGCCATAAAGAAGAGGGAAAACACCTTTTCTCACTTGCTGCAGAGACTAGGACATGGACCACTGGCTTGAAGATGGAACAAAGTATATTTAGATTACATATCAGGAAAAAATTCTTCACTGTTAGAAGAGTGAGGCAGTGGAATAGACTGCCTAGGGAAGTTGTGGACCCTTCGTTATTAGAGGTGTTCAAGAAGAGATTAGACAGCCACTGGTCAGGGATAATCTAGGTGTAACTATGGGTATTTTCCATGTTTCTGGGCTTTGCTGGTTGCTGCATGGGTTTAGGAAGGAATTCTTTCCCCTCCTGTTGCTGTGTCAGGAAATGTTTTTTTAAGCCTTTCTCAGAGGCATTGGGTGTTGGTTGCAGCCAAGGCTGGGGTTTGACTTGTGTGTGCCAATGCTTGTGCTGGGACTTAAAACCAGAGGTTCCTGTCTTGCCCCTCTTCTCAGAGTCAGACTAACCGCCATATTTGGGTCAGGAAAGAATTTTACCCCATGGTCAGATTGGTATGGACTGGGGGGTTGCCTTCCTGGGATCTTTCAAGCATATTTTAACATCCCTTGCAGCAGCAGGACATTGGTCACCCTGCCTTACCTGTGGCAGATTGTCTTGTGTTTTGTCAAGGTTGACTCTGTTGTTTTGCTATGGATTTGATTTGTAGAAGTCTTCTAATTTCTGAAGGACTGGATTCAGTGACCTAGGAGGCTCTTCCTATTCTGTGTTCTTAATATTGACTTTAGAAAAATCCGTCTCTCCCTCTGAATTGTTCATAATCAGGTGTGTTGTTCTGCAATGGCCCCTCTGCATGTGCAGGTAAAGGCTCAGTGGGATCTAATGCATTATCTATATAATTGTGCTTCCTGCCATGCCACGTGCATATTAGGAGGTGTGATTGTGGGATCACGAATTAGATCCCATCATGCCTTATTACTGGTGCAGGGGGAGCAGCTGCAATCTTCCAGCCATGGGGATGCACAAAGCAACCCCTGCAGCAGGAAGCTCTGTCAGCGGATGGGGCTCTCAACCACAGGACAAAGACTATACATGCAAATTAGAGCTGGGTAGAAACCAGCTCTAAAGTTATTACGCATTTTCCAGCAGTAACTTTATAGCTGGTTGGACCTGTTTACAACACCATAGTTAATTTGCATGTGTAGCCAATCTGAAGTAATTGCACAGTTCATCAGGTAATTGCATAATATATGTAATGTGTAGAGGAGGCCCAAGTAGCAAAGAGATATTGTTTTCAAATTGCTGTGCAATAATAGAGAGGGGAAAGATCAGTATTCTGCAAAAGGAAAAGAAAAATAGGAAAAAGGTTTATTGTTAGGCTTCTAAAAATAATGTTAATTACATAGCATGTAAAATCGGTAAGTATGTAAGAGGTTCTTTACGTAAGAAGGTAGCCTTAAATAATTCATGTCAGAAGTAAAAAGTGTTATTAATGGAACCTCTGTTTTAATGAACTGCAGCATAATCCCTATTGTTGGCTGTAGATACATTTTTAAAGAAGCAAAAGTGACTGCTATCCTCCTTTATGAATTGTTCTCCCTAATGATACCCAGTACTTTGGACAAAGTCAGAAATACAGTAGAATCTGTCAACTCTGAACTTTAATAAAAATCACCTGCTTGACTGGGAAATTGCCAAAGATTCCACAGAATATATTTCACTGACTTTAAATTTTGGAGTATTAGCACAGCAACTGCTGGCATATATTTCTTGCTGTCAGTCCTTTGTGTGGTTTTTACTGTTTCCCAGCTTGCACATGGTTGTTAACAGAATCCAGCTCACCTAAATTCTGTTTTTAAAAGTATTTTAATGCTTAGTGGTACCTTTTTTAAAACTGTTACTGAAACTGAACAATGTTTCCCAGGGTAGTGTTCCCATGAGCCTCTAATTATTGTGACTTAACAGTGCCACACGCTCTCAACAGGTTCAGTGTAGAAACTCATGGCTGTGAAGAAGTTGTTCTGTTAAAGTGTTCATATCACTCTGCTGATGAAAAATAAGACCGAATTATAGAACAGTTGCTGGGGGTTTTTTCCTTTGTATTTTTCATTCGTACTTACCGATCCTGTTAATCCTATTGGATGGGAATCAGGGCAATTTAAAAATACTTCAGTCATGGAAATGGCCATTACAGCTATATTGTTCAACTAAAAAGTAGCAGTACGCTGAGGCTAAGCATAGGCACTCATTTCTAGTGCTGCAAATTTCTGAGAAAAGTCAAGTTTACAGGCATTCCAACCTGTAGCTACACCTTCCTGGCAGGCAAACTGAGGCTGAGCTTTGCCCTTGAGTAAATGCCCTTGTGCCATGACTAGGTCTGAGGAAGGAATAGAGGGCAGCAACAGCTTAATTCTTCCCCTTCTCTGGGAGGAAGAGAGCTGTGGAGATATGCTCTGTGCCTTCCACAGACTGGGATGAGTCAAGCTGCTACTGCTTCCTGCCCCTTCCACAGGGCACCCGGCTCACCCTGCTCTGTGGAAGATATGGAAGCAGAGTGTGGGGGATAGCTCCAGCTTGTCTCATTCTGGTCCTTGGAAGAAGTCAAGCAGCAGAAAAAAGCCCCTCTCCCCAGTCTCTGAGACCTGTCGAGCCATAGGGAAATTGCCTCCAGTGACCCTGGTCTGTGGAAGGTGTAGGGGCAGCATATAGCCAGTAAAAGTAAGTCCATTAAAGGAGATAAATTTGACTCCTGGCTGCATGAAGTTTAGTGTGCTGAAATGTTACTTTGCTACCTCTTTAACTATATACTGCTTCAGGAAAGCAAGAAAGGAGAAACCTTCAGAAATATATTGCAAGTCACTCATGTTGTACATGATAAATCATCTCTAATTGTCATTGCCTGTTTCAATTAATTCTGATTGAATTATCCAATCCAATATTAACAGCTGAAAGTCATCAAAATAGGTGATAAAAAACACAATGCAATCAATAAAAATAATGTGATTCCTGCCGAGGCAATCAAATTAAATGGAAGTCATTGTAGGTTAAGCTACTTTGTATTTCTTCATACTATATTAAGGAATTAAAATGGGAGTGGTAAGAACACACAAAATGTAATGCAAGCTCATGAAAATCATTGAATTCAAAATTGTCTCTAAGGATGTGAGCAGGCCATAGAATTGCTTCACCAGAAAAACAGGCCTAGAAATTAGATGAGATTTGTTTTTCCTGCTGAG